GTTTAAATTCTAATTACTAAAGTTCTATCATTAAATAATACTTGATTATCATATTATAATGCTTGACTGACTGATGTTACGAGTGTACTTTCAGATATTTAAAAACTGTGCCATTTTACAAACATTTTCATGTACAGTCGTGGTCAGAATTGTTGGCACCCTTGGTAAATATGATCAAAAAATAAATCTGCATTGTTAATCCTATTGATCTTATATTTAAATTATTTTTTACAAAAATATAACCTTTCATTAAAGAATAAGAATTGAAAATGGGGGGAAATCTCATTATGAAATAAATGCTTTTCTCTAATACATGTTGGCCACAATTAATGGTACCCTTTTATTCAATACTTTTTGCATCAACCTTTTGCCAAGAGAACAGCTCTGAGTCTTTACCTATAATGCCTAATGAGTTTGGAGAACATCTGACAAGAGATCAGAGACCATTTCTTCATCCAGAATCTCTCCAGACCCTTCAGATTTCCAGCTGCATGATGGTGCTTCTCCTCTTCAGTTCACCACACTCATTTTCTATAGGGTTCAGGTCAGAGGACTGGAATGGCCATGGCAGAATATTCGTTTTGTGCTCGGTGACCCATTTTTGTTTTGATTTTGATGTTTGTTTTTGGATCATTGTCCTGGTGTAAGATCCAACCTTGCCCCATTATAAGATTTCTAGCATGGACAGTCAGTTTTCAATTTTTTATCTGTTGCTATTTGATAGAATCCACAATGCCATGCATCTAAACAAGATGTCCAGGACCTCCGGCAGAAAAATACACCAACAACATTAAAGATCCAGCAGTATATTTCATTGTACACATGGGGTACTTTTTTACTCCTGTGTGCACCAAACCTATCTTGAGTGTTTGCTGCTAAAAAGCAGATTTTTAGTTTTTATCTGACCATAGGACCCAGTCCTGTTTGAAGTTCCAGTAGTGTCTGGCAAATTAATACGCTGGAGTTTGTTTTTGGATGAGAGCATTTTCTTTTCTTGATTTCTTTTTTTTTTCTTTCTTGAAAACCTCCCAAATAACGTCTGGTGTAGGTGCTGTTTGACAATTTGTTTTTAGGTTATCTGACCCCAAGACTCAACTAATCTCTGCTATTCTGCAGCTGTGGTCCTTGGAGAGCCTTTAACCACTCAAACTCTCCTCTTCACTGTGCATTAGGACAATATAGACACAGGTCCTCTTCCAGGAAGGTTTGTAACATCTTTAGTTGATTGGAAATTGTTAATTATTGCCCTGATGGTGGAAATGAGAGTTTTCAATACTCTAGCTCTTTTCTGAAAGCCACTTTCTATTTTGTGAAGCTCAAAAATCTTGTTCTGCACATCAGAACTGTATTCTTTGGTTTTACTCATTGTGATGGATGATTAAGGGAGTTTGGCCTTTGTTTTCCCTCATTTTTATATTCCTGTGAAACAGGAAGCAATGGCTGGATAATTTCATGTTCATAATCACCCTGGTGAGCTACAAAT